AAACAATAACTTCTCAAGATTTACGTCAGACAGGTATGGTCATTATTCATTAAGCTGGTTTTGGTTATTCTGCATTTGGTTGTCTTGGCTAATTTTATCTCTTTCTGTCTTTCTTCTAAAGCTTCATTGGCAATCCTGGTCTTTGCGGTAGCTGGCTAAACTCGCCTTGTCATCATGTTTCTAAACCATCTGTACGAGGTGATTGATTATCTCTGTTCTAGAAACTTCCATTAGCGAAATCTAAATCTAAAAACCAACCGTTTCTTGTGTTGTACAGTATCAATCTCTAGAGCAGCTATTCTTGGGATAGCTATTGGAGGACTTGTGATCCTCCTTATGGTCCTTATAGCAGCTTGCCGGCCGCATAATCCTCCTCCTTTTCTTGATGGTTCACTTGACAAACCAGGTTTACTTTCTGAACAATGCTCCTCTCTTGTCCATTATAGCAAAATCCAATAGCTAATCTTGAGATTTCTTGATCACATTCAGTAACATATTCGACGCCGAAGCTTGTCATCCTCCATATGAACATGGCGCTCCATGTCTACGAGGATATCATGAGAATGACAGAGAATCTAAGCGAGAAGTACATCATTGGCCACGGAGCATCAAGCACGGTTTACAAATGTGTCTTGAAGAACTGCAAACCGGTTGCGATCAAGCGGCTCTACTCTCACAACCCGCAGTCGATGAAACAGTTTGAGACTGAGCTCGAGATGCTTAGTAGCATCAAACATAGAAATCTTGTGAGCCTGCAAGCCTATTCTCTTTCTCACTTGGGGAGTCTTCTCTTCTATGACTACATGGACAATGGCAGCCTCTGGGATCTTCTTCACGGTAAGTCTCTTCATCAAAACAAGAACTCATTTGATTCTTCTACAAAACAAGAACTCATTTGATTTCTTGCTTTTGTTTGTGTGTGTGTTTTACAAAGGTCCTACAAAGAAGAAGACTCTTGATTGGGACACACGGCTTAAGATAGCGTATGGTGCGGCACAAGGGCTTGCGTATCTACACCATGACTGTAGTCCAAGGATCATACACAGAGACGTGAAGTCTTCCAATATTCTCTTGGACAAAGACTTGGAGGCTCGTTTGACTGATTTCGGAATTGCGAAAAGCCTCTGCGTGTCCAAGACGCATACTTCAACATACATAATGGGCACCATAGGTTACATAGACCCTGAGTATGCACGCACTTCACGTCTCACTGAGAAGTCTGATGTCTATAGTTATGGCATAGTGCTGCTTGAGTTGCTAACCAGAAGGAAAGCTGTTGATGATGAGTCCAATCTCCACCACCTGGTTTGTCTTCTTCCCCTATCTGTTTCACCTGATTTGTTGCCTATGGTCTAAGTTTCAAGCCAAACAATATGGTTCGATTTTGTGTACAGGTAATGTCAAAGACAGGGAACAATGAAGTGATGGAAATGGTAGATCCAGATATCTCATCGACATGTAAGGATCTTGGCGTGGTGAAGAAGGTATTCCAGCTCGCGCTCCTATGCACCAAAAGACAGCCGAGCGACCGACCAACAATGCACCAGGTGACTCGTGTCCTAGGCAGCTTCATGTTGTCGGAACAACCACCAGCTGCGGCAGCAGACACGTCGACGACGCTGACTGCTTCTTGCTACGTCGATGAGTATGCGAATCTCAAGACTCCTCATAATGTCAACTGTTCTTCAATGAGTGCTTCAGATGCAGAGCTCTTTCTTCGGTTTGGTCAAGTTATTTCACAGAACAGTGTGTGAAAAAAAAGTTGGTCTTGTCAACTTCTACTTTTTCTTAGGAGGAGAATCTTGGAAACGGTCATCGTTATTTCTTATGTTGCTTAAGCTGTTAGAAAATTATTATCGTCTCTTTGTAAAAATAGTGGCTCGGCCTTATTATTAGATAAGTGTGTGAATATATTCAGACTGCCACTTACACTTGCTATTTCTAAATTTTCTGAAGGTTGTCGAATATTTCCAATAATATAATACTCAAAACAACCAAATGGTTTTTAATGTATATATTTAAAAATTATGAGAAAATATGAGATTTATTTTAAGAAAAATATGAGATTTACTTGTTTACCAAGCTTAGTTAGTTAGTCTCACAAACCTTTTTATAAGTTAGGGATATTCTTATGGGTCTCTCAACTCTAACTAATATTAATATTTAATTTTTAAAGTGTGAGCACAAAATTATATTAATATTTAATTAATGGATATGTCAAAAACTTGAGAAATCCACACCAAAGTCTTTCAAATAAGAGATTTTAAGGTGAGTCTCTCAAATTTTTAACATACCCATCAATTAAATATTAATAGAGTTTTGTGTTCACACTTAAAAGAATAACTTTAATTAAATAGTACTATAAATTTGTGTTGAGAGACAGAGACTCCCATTGGAGATGCTCTTAGATTTTTATTTTTGTGAACATAATTTTCCTTAGATTTAGAGCCATTTTCCTAATTTAATGGGCACACAATAAAAAAGGGATGCAATCAAAACTATTAAAGTTTTTTTTTAAAGTATAGTACGTGTAAGTTGTTTTGTGCTACATGATCATTTGACTCAATGTGTATGTTTTTTTGGCTACGTGTAGTTGGTCGAACTAAACCTAGATTAAAGTCGAAGTGAACGTAATAAGATTCAGTTCCACTTGTTTGTCAAACACAAGGCATTGATTTCAATAAAAATCTGTGAACGAAAATCTAAAAGTATCAAAGATAATAACAGCTCTTAAATAACACATTTATTTAACTAAGATTTCCTCTAATCACATCTTTGATGAGCCCAAGATAAACTTCCTCCAAACCCTATTTATAAAAACTATAAAATATGGGGAATTCACTCGGTTCCCGAATTCACTCAGAAGAAGAAGACAAATTTAAGAGAAAAATGGGGAGGATGAAATTAGTGTTGAAGAAAATAATGTGTATGAAAGACAGAAGCAGCAAATACTCGAAACGCAAAAAGGGAATTATAAAGAAAGCTGGAGAAATGGCAATTTTGTGCGATGTTGATATCGTTCTCCTTATGTTTTCTCCCACCTTCAAGCCTATTCTTTTCACCCCTCATTCTAAGTATTCCTCTTTCTCTTTTCTCTATTTTTCCTTTCTTTTTTGTTTACACTTTGCAGAGTCTAAAATATTTTAATCAAAAGCTTGCAAAAAATGATATATTCGAACGGAACACAGTTTGTAGCACTATAGCAACATGTTCATACATAGAACAAACAAAAAAATGAAAACAAGAACTTTACAATCGTCGTTTTCTAGGTTTGATGGAAATTTATAAAAGGATTGATGATTCTCTCATGTAAAGAGGTTAAACAGTTCCACATATCGGGTGACAAAGTCTAAGATCGTGATTAGTCTTTACGATTACCAGCCATGTTTATGATTAGTCTTTAGTCTTAACGATCCGGTTACCATGTTTACATAGTAAATGAAGTACAATACTTATATCATAAACACTTTAGAAATATGGAGTGTTATCATAGATTGTTCGTCGTTATGGATACAAACTTCCAATATTTTTCTTACAAATGATGTTTGGGAAATTGCAGAGCCCTTGATAATATCTTGGACAAACTTTCCAAAATGTCTGAAGAAGATCGGGAAGAGAGGTTTGATCTTTCTGATTTCTAAATTGCATTATTATATATAATTATACGTTGAACATAGTTTTTACCAAACAATAATAACATGTGTTCTTTGATGTTGTATTTCCGCATTCAGGAGGGCTTATACAATGCAGGTTCGATTTATTTACTCATCACTTACCAATAAAACTGCTTTTTTAATTCGCAATTTCACGAAAGCGGAAAAACTGAGAGTGATTTTGCATTTCTTGCATGAAATAGACGATTCAGAAGCTGCTGATCAACAAGGACGACACAGAAATTCCCAATGAAAGTCATTCCCTTTCATCCGAAAGGTAATATTATATATATTTTTTGTTTTATAGTTCAATATTTATATTATGTTCACTATTAATAAATAGTTGGTCACAACATTTAGAAAATGTAGTTGTTTATAGTCAATCTATATGCTTCAAGATCTAATTTTGATATATTCATTGCAGTGATGAGGCCTCCCAGGTACAAACAAAGGAGTACTCGATAAGTATTGTATTTCATTTTTTATAAAATAATAATATACTAATTGTTTATGATATATACAATAATTATCAAATTTCAGGAAGATGCAAAGGTAATTGAACTAAGAGAAGCCTGTAAATTGCTTGAAGAGAATTTATCAATTTTGAGGTAATGATATATATAAAAAATTATGACTGACTAAGATTCTACAAAAACAGTTTCTTATCAATTTTATTAACTATGTGTTTACTAAAAATAAGTGTTATAATTTATACAGAGACTGGGAGAATCCGTATAGAGTTGATGATTTGGCACGACTCAGTATCATGGAAGACCATCTAGTTTCCACTCTCAACCAGATCAGCAAGGTAATATACAGATTAATGTCTAATAATTAAGATTTATCATTCCAAAAGATAAAATGTGAGTTTAACAGAAAGTTTGTTTTGTTTCAGATGAAAATCCAAGACTAAGCAAAATCGAAAATTTATTTGTAACTAGCCAATTTAAGATCATAAGAAAATATTATATAGTATATAGTATCAAGTTAATTATGTTTTGTATTTATTTCACCTAGTGATATATGATATGTTAATTCTTTTTTTACCATAGCTACAATAATATAGTACTCTTTATGATATTTTGGACCACTATCTAACTCACAATCATGGGGAAGACCAAGCATTAAAATCAGATAAGCAACTTTCTTCTTTTCCTTCATCATCAAGGAGATACAGTAACCAACATACAAATCAAGACAATCTCTAATTCAGCTTAGTGTTTTACTCCTTCCTCAAAGCTCTGCTTACTCTGTATCCTATATTCCGTAATCATTCACCAACTCAAACCCAATATGCCTTCTTCTAAAACTCAGAGGCCATTGGACACTTCTAAACTGTTTTTTTTTTCAGCACCTCTTTATGATTCCTGCAACGTTCCTACCAATCTCCTCCTTTGTCTGCTCAGACACCGGAACATCTCCAATGTACATGTCGAAAAACGCCCCTGTAATGTTCGCATATCTCAGCCCTTGGTACGAACATACACATGTGCAAGAACTAAAACAAAAATGATAAAAAGAGTAACACTAACTGCAAAGATCCTTGCTCTGGACAGCTCCAATCACGTTACCACCAACTGCAAACGTTTTCACATATTCAAGTGAGCTCATCAATAAATTACAGAGCCAAGGAAGATTCATTTTGTATACAGAATTCAAAAACTCACTCTCTGTGATTAGTTGTCCATCTGCCGTTCGTCTAAAGTCTATGATTGTTCCCTGCAAATGAGTCACTAAACTCAGTCTTACGCATCTACGTGTGTTTATACGTAAAGTCTGAGTGTAAGCATCATTATTTAGTCATTTAGTACCGCAGGTATTGGAATGTCTTGTGTGAAGAATGAACCGAAATCATTCAAGCAATTGAAGTTAGTTTTTGGATTTGCCTGAAATAGAAAAATGGACAAGCTTATGATATTGCCAAAGCCTAATTCAGAGTGTAAAATATTTTGCTTCGGTGTAATCATTTACCTTCACCAAACGAGCACGCAGAGATTTCTCAAAAACACTGAAAAAATAGACAAGCAAGGGAAGAGAGATTAGATTATACACCAAATTAAAAAACTGAGAATCAATTTTAACAACATAGTTTGATACTACAAGATGATGATAAATATCTGTAACTTCCACTTACTCTTTCACAGTATTGATCTTCAAGCCATTGTAGCTAACCACAAGCCTCACACTCATCACAATATCCTCCCTGAAAAAAGACTTTCAGAAGAAATGTCCAACTCCACTCTCAAGTGTACAGAACTGTCAAAAGAACAAAGGATGAATAATACCTAAGAAGGTCTTTGTATAAGTCATCGCATTTGTCGAGTTTGCTAGCTGGAACAGAGGCATACTTCGGTCCAAGCTTCTGACAGACAGAGGAAGGATGGACATCTAATGCAGAAAAGTTCCATTCCAGTCAGAAGCAATAGATGGCAGATGGTTCCATAGAGACAAGAATATACAAAAGCTCAAATACACTTACAAAAACCAAATGCATATACTTTTAGAGACTTAATTCTGATTATTTGCATTGTCCGAGATCCAGTTGCAACAAGCACCTTAAAAATGAAATCTCTTCTTTAGTAACTGTGACCAGATACTCAAATGACAAAGACTAAAAGGAAAAAGCTATAGAAACCTCAGAAGTGAATCCTGGAGAATTTTTCTTCAACAACATTGGAAATTCAATCCCTGTTCGAGGCTCTACTGTTTGTCTTGTCCAATCCAATTTGTGTAAACTCAAACCACTATGTTCCTCACTCCCAACCTGACAAGTCTTGTGTTCAATGTTCTGCGGAGCTTGAACATCATTACTCGCTAGTGGCAGAGCAAGTCCATTCGCGGTCCTAATCAACAATTACTATCAGAAAAAAAGCCTCAAGAAAAGAGAGTTACGCAGTAAACGAATTAGATAAAAGCTTACATGGTGTGTAAAGATGGTATCAACGAAACAGCCAAGGAGAGCACAGAACATGAATGTAGCCTCTCAGCTTCGTTAACAAAATGCTGAACAGTGGATTTAGATATGTTTCCAAAGAAGCCAGGGATCAAATCTTTTGTTCCATAGTGAAAATGGAATAAAGAGAAATTCGGATAACTACTCTTCACATGCTTCTTCGAAGAATCATCACAACAACTTAAGCTCCATTGGTACTTAAAAATCTCCCTTTTTTGCAGATTCTTGTTGTTGTTACCAAACCAGCAAAGCAAAGCTCCTGTAAACTTGGAGATGCAACTAAATGCTTCGAACGCGAAGCTTCCTGGTATATGTAACTGCGAGAACAGCTCGTGCTGTAAAAAACCTCTCTTTGGTGGTAAAATGTGTGACACGTTTCCACTATTTGAATCCATATTTGACATTTTCAAAGATTCTGCAAGAAAATGAAAGGAAAGACAAAACAATCGATGATCAAATCCCAAATCAGAGTCGTGAAACAAAGGTTATAGCTTGAAATCAAAGCCGAAACAACAACACAATTACAAAAATGCTAATTTCGTGATCGTGTTTACATTTTCGTATTAGTCAATGTTAAACGCGATTAATTTCGGTTTCATATAACACTAAACGCCTAATTAGATTAACATTTGTAAGAGGGTAATGCGGAAGATGATAAGTAACATACCCGGAGAAAATTAGGAGGAAGAGGGAATGAGAAAAGATGATGAAAACAGGGAAAGCGTGAAGCTTTTTGCTTTTTTGGGATCTCTTGACGAAAGAGACGAGAAAAGGAATATACTTTGGCGTTTGGCTTAAGAACAATTAACGGCGAACAATGGTCGCTGGGGAAAATTAATTTTCAGGGTTTTTCAGTGAAAGTGAAATTTTTTAATTAATTTTCTTTTACAAGAAAATAAAATCATTCGACATCGTTTCGCTTTTTTGACTGTCTGAAATCACGGTGGACCCCATTTTGTCTAAAATAGTTTCGGTTTTGACATCATACTTAGATTATGTTAAGTTTCCCCCCCTACAACGTACGGCGTCGTTTTGTGATATACACAATGGTGGTTAATCAGTGAAATGGATTATAATAACCATTGAACCTGTGAGTAAACCAAACAAACCGGTCAACCCCAAAGAAGAAGAAGAATGTTAACGAAAACAATGAGAACAATAGAAACAGCAATGAAGCCATCGAGAGACAACGAATTTTGAGTAAGCTAATAAGTCTTTTGTCCCGAGATATATCAATTATGGTTGGAAAAAAAACACATGTTTTTTAACAAGAATAGATAATTTACTTTGAGGTATATAATAAGAAGAAGTCATAAAAGACCAGCCTCCAATAGATTTCTCCTTCTTAAGGTCTCATCAACGAGCTTAAACGTTTTCTTTACGAGCTTCTGGTCCAAAGCCGTTGTTCTGTAGATTTTGAATACCCTGTCCACTCGATCCGGCGCTGTGTTCTGGTAATATAGTTCCTCAAACTTCTTCTTCACAAACCTTTCAAATTACATCGAAAATCACAATGTCAAAAGTTAAGGTTATTAGAGGAAAAATCAATCAGTAATTAAGAAAACAAACTTACTCGTATGCATGCTCGATCTCCTGTTTCCCACTTGAAACTGGTTGGTAATCTCTGAACCACTCGCAAACGTTCAATGGAACCTATGAAGCATCCAACAAAGATATGCTTAAGTTATAAAACCAAACAAGTCTTCTTTCGTTTGCATATCTAAAAACAAACAGATATGCTTCACTTCTTACATCAAGAACCTTCTTCTCGAATATGTCGAACTTGTTCAAGAACAGCATGAAGGATGTTTTCTGCGTTTAAGAGAACCATTTTTGTCAGTCTCTACAGAGTTTAAACTGATAAAAGATTAAGAATGAAGTAAATCAAGAACCTCGAAACAGGGCTGTTTCAGGACCCAGTCGAATAATTCTTTGGTTTCCATCATCCTGTTTTTCTGCTCGTCTTCAAAGAGAGTTTGGTCATACCTATGATCAAAAACTCGGTTAGCGATTTGGTGATATATATATGTGTATAATATATAGTTTTAGTTTATAGTGGAAATGGAAGCTTACTCGCTAATGGCAGCACAAAATATCACAGCAGTTACACCTTCAAACAGATGAATCCATTTCCTCCTCTCGTTTCTCTGTCCACCCACGTCGAATAATCGGTACACTTCGCCGCTTTTCTTATTCTCTCCCACAGGGCTGCATAAATCAAAAGCTTTAGTTTCATAAAACAAGAATCATAATCACATTTTAAACCTGTTAGCTATCTACATAGCTACAGTCGACTACAAACCGGTGCACCAGACAAACATTTAGGATTTATCAGAAAGTTTCTCATCTATTTGAAAACTGAGACCTGAGCTGCATTAACATGCTAAATTAAATAGGTAGATAAGAGTAATTGGCACCTGAATTGTATTTCCACGACACCAGTGGTGCGAACTCTTGCGTAAAGAACATCCTCCTGATACACCAATGACGACACATTACAGGAAGAAGAATGTCACAGAAATTGGAGATCGTATAATCGTGCTTAAAGGTGAAGACCCTAGTCTTTAATTTGCTAGCAGCCAAGAATATACAAGAACCTCTTAAATGCTGAACAAGCATATGTACATAACAGAATTAACTTGGCTAATATGTTGGTGAATTGATCCAATCCTCTTGTTACTTCAAAACAATTTCATCACATAATGATAGTTCAGTATCATATTACCTTGGTTGGAATATAATGAAGATCTGATAGTCTCTTCAAGTTCTCCATCAGATACTTTGTACAATCAGGAACTTGAAGCTCATTACCACGAGCACATGTTTCCTACAAAAATGAAACATGAGCGACATTTAAACGAAAGTGGAGTCACCTAAATCATGCATTCAATTTGGAATGTCACTGTAAAGAAAATGTGCAAGCACACACACACAGACACACCTGGATTGCAGGATCCTTCCATAGTGTTTCTATACCCTCGGCGAGGTCCTTAGTAAGACGCGGATAGTCTAACCTACCACCAATTTCAGAGAGTTTCTCCCCAATTGCCTGATATTACGATAATAAAGGCGACCATCATGACAAGATAATGTACTTCACTGGAGAACTCTAACAAAGACAGTTCAGTAACCAAGAAATTTAATCACTTTTACCATATTTTCAGCAGATAACAAATATTTTGCAGAATCTGATTCATTTTGAGCAAATTCCTTTGTTCCATCATGCAACAACTGTTCAACAACATAGAGTTTTCACTAACAATATAAATTTTCAATCTAAAGAAATCGAAAGGGCCACAGCGTTTGTAAGTATTGCATACTTTTATAGTCTGATAGACATTGGCATGTATGACTGGAACATAGCTCTTTAGTTCCCCTTCATCAAATCCCGTTTGAAACAGAAGCTTTATCTGAAAGTTACAAGATTTTGTCTCATTAAACTAACACATTCATAAACATACATATCAGTAAAGACTACAAACAATTTTTCTTTTAGACTTGCCTGCTTAAAAATTGTAGATTTTCCAGATTCTCCAGCACCTTTACAAAGATCAGTCATAAAAATTAGAGGAAATTTCAAAAGCAAAATGAATATGCGACCAGAAAAAAAGTTACACAGCAAGGAAGTGATCACTCTCCAAGTAGTTAACAAAAAAAAGTTACTCTATCAAAGATACATCAAGGCATGCCATTTGCATTTATATCATAACTCATTAACATAAGACTAATGAATCAAGTGTCCACATACCAAGTAACAGAAGCTTCCGGATATGCTTTTCAGCTTTTGCCTCTTGCTCTATCCGTCTTTCGATTTCAACAGCCTGCAGATTTATACAAAACCATCTTAACTCTATATGCCTTGAGTACCAGAACTAATGCTCAAATCGATTCAGTAGTATCAAACCTGTGCATTCTCATCAGTATCTTCTGTATGATGTCGACTTCTGCTGCAGAGTAAGCCCATGATTTTATATCTTTTATAGTCCCACAGGTCGCATGGAAGTCGAAAAACCAAGACACTTCAGTTTCTTGCTACAGTTTCGTCTCATAACAGGACAATGCCTACCTACCAAATCAAACAAACATGTTCAAAGAATGCAAGTAAAGAAGCACAGAACACAAAATTTATTTGATTATAACCTCTGTAACAAGTTTATTATCATATCATTCCGGAAAATGAGCTCTTCAATTCAATTAGCTAACTATAAGAAAAAATTCCAACAGAGTCAAAATTGTGATAACAAATCGAGCCATACACTTCCGCAACTATAATCAGATGAAGAAATTTAACATTTCCAGATCCAAGAAAAACGACAGAATTATCATTTTCACTTCCAATCAACAGAACCTGGCTAATTTCTTCAGGAATAGTTCAATAAGAGAAGCTGAGATTCCCAAACAGAAACGGATTCATCTACAGAAACCTAATCCTCAAAAACCCAATTTGAAAACAACATTACAGGGAGGACTAAGACAAGATCTGAGTTAAAGAACGAAAAATAAACAAAGCTTTACGAAAACCCAGAAGAGCTAATTGGGGGAAAAGTGAAAATTAAAAAAAAAAAAAAAGAATCACCTGAAGAAAAACAAAACACAATCAGAGGAGTTTGCTCACAAGTACAAAACAAGTTCTGAGAAGAGAGCAGAGTACTTCTGCTTCTCCTGTTTCTATTATTGTTTACCCTTCTTTCCGCTTTAATGTTCCTTCTCGTCTTTTGGATGTATTGTCTACACACACACTCTCATGTATATCTAAATACGTTTTAAAAAAATGCAATAAGGCATTAATTAAGAGAAACGGAATATAATAAAGAGAAGTCAAAGCAAAGAAAATGCTAAGCAAAGGGAGAGACGAAATTTCGCCGAAAGGTCTTATTTTGTCAATTGTTGAAAAGATGTCTCTTGTCTGAAGATAAGAAGAGTAGCCACGTAACTTATGAAAGATGTAATTACATATTTAAATCAAAACTAGAAACCACCGTATCTTCATTGTTATTGCTCTGTTTTTCGTTTTCAGACCTTTTCTTTCCCTTTTTTCAAGGCCTACCTTGAGCCGTCTTTGAGGGAACCAGATCTGAGGTGATAAAGCAAGATCATGGAACATCCTCAACAGTCGCAAACCTGGCTATGTGGATCACTAGTTTGTCTGAAAAATGCAACAGTCAAGTGGTAGTTAAAGAAACCAAACCAAGTGAGTCACGTAAATGTCTGTGGTGCCTACAAATTGGGAAACCTAAAACTGAGTAATAAAGAATATATACCCTGGTTTGACATTGCCACTGACGACAAGGTAAGAAGTTTCCACTGTATCTCCATCGGTCGTTTCATTGGCATAGCTCTGTTTCAAGGCCTGCCTTGAGAGCCGTCTTTGAGAGAACCAAGATCCTCAGCTCCTATTCCTAGTGCGACAGCTTTGACTCCTTGTTGAGAGACATTTCCAGTACCAGCAAAGCATCTAAGACAGCAACATATAGAAGAAGAAAAAATCAAGTAACTAAGCAAAATGAAAATTTCAAGGAAAAGAAAGTCAATTAACACATACAGTGAACCGAAAGGAGTAGTTTTTTTGGTTGTGGGGTTCTTTTTCTTCGTACTGTTTTCTTCATCATCATCGTCTTCTTCCCCAGTCTCAAAATATCTCTTAGACGACTTATTCCTTTTGGGTACAGGCTTCAACATTTCCTTTACCTTGTACGTGAGACAGCATATGGCAAAGTCTCATCGATTGTACCACCACATGTTCCAGCCGATAGAACTGTTTGCATGCTTTGTATGCTTCTTGTAGGAGAGTCTTAGATGTTGTATAGACATCTCCAGCCCATTGAGACTGCACGTTTCATAGTTTTCAAAGCTCCACATGAAATATGTTGGCATAAGCACTAGTTCTAGTGGGAAGTCAGTGTGCTCGAAAATCCAAGCTCCATATCTTTCACTGATATCTTTCACCGGGAATATACTGGCAAGGAAAGAACTCTGATAACAAAAGGGTCAACAGGATAAGCCGTTAACTACAAGGAGAGACATTTTATCTGCAACAACACAAAAAATTCCTATCAAAACATGAGCAACTCGATAAGATAACATCATTAACGTATTATTTAGTTTTTCTTTTTCTTGCTATTTGTTTTCAGTTTTCTTTTGTTTTTGGGTTTTGCAGTGCATATATTATTCAGAATAACGACACTGACTGCGCATGGGACTTGACTGCGCATGGGACTGTGCCGGCTGATCATCATCTTCCTGAAATAAGTAAGACAAAGTTATACACGAACACATTAACCAGTCAAGTTCGTTCCTCAAGATTCCACAACAACAAAACAATTTGAGTAAGGAACACAATAACCAATCATGTTCGTTCCGCAAGATTCCATAACAATCAAAAATTTTGAATAAGCCTTTTCGCAAGCAAATTTTATTTTCCTTCAATCCGTTAAGAACACTTTAAATACACATGAAGAGTCGCTGTAAAAACAAGAAAGAGGTCCTAGAAGAGTCATTGTAAGTGAAATATTAGTTTGTTTTTTCTTTTGAGCATAAGTCAAAGATTATAAGATTCCTAAACAAAGCCATACCAATTATGTTCCTTGCTCAAGATTCCATAACAGTAAACAATTAAGTAAGACAAAGAGACATATAAGATTCATTTAAGAGAAGAGTTATACACGAACACATTAACCATTTCGTTCCTCAAGAATCCATAACAACAACAAAATTTGAACAAGGAACACATTAACCAGTCATTTTCGCTCCTCAAGATTCCATAACAATAAAAAAATCTGAATAACTTCACTGTAAAAACAAGCCTAAAAACAAAGCCATATTGTGAGAAATTAAATGTGAGAAATTCGCTATATATAATGGTGGATGTGGGAACTTAATAGAGCACCTACCTCGAAATTGTGAAGCAAGCAAAACGGAAACGGGAATGCTCTTCCGGTCACGCTTTGCAATTTGGTGACTATGGCTCCCAAAAAGTGGGAACCGGTTCAGTAATGTAACTATTTATCAAGACGGAAAGATTCGAATAGAATTCAAGCATAAAAATTCGTCCAATCTGAATGGAAAGATTCGAATAGAATTCGTTAATTCAGATTGCCTCTTTGTAAATAAGTGAATAAGTAATTTACTTATGTGTCGTACTTGCCTCTTTTTAAGATATGATATTACACATGTCACGATCTAAATTAAACATGTCACAACTCACGATTTCATAAATAAGAATTTCTTTTACGTATCATGTATCATGCTTATTGTGCACATCAAACTTTATTTTATATCAACGAATTCTTAATAAATAAGGAAAAATTAGCTGAATATACCATATTTCTTATGATATTGTGGAACTATACTTTTTGTAATTTAGTTTGGGTATTTAAGTTTTATTTTATATATAATCAAATATAAAGATTTTTAAAATTAATAATCAACCTTAGTTAGTTATTGAAAGGCTAAAATGTTTTTTTTTTCTTTTTCTAGAGGAGACATTTGCTCTCTCGAAGCATATAGTTTTTTCTACGTAATATAGAAAAAGTAGAAAAGATGAGAGAAATGGAAATTATACAAGTAGTTTTGGACTACCAAAAATTCTCTTCCATCGTTGGTGACACTTGGGTCAACCAAGAGCATGACATGGTCTCGATGAACAGGAACATCGTATATCTACTGCAACAACAACAAAAATATCACAATGTTGCAAAATACTCTAATTAACCTTTGCAACAAGTTACTGAAACCGGCAAGTTAAAATTTATGAAGGGAGACAAGAGTTATATAACCAATGTTCGGTTCTCAAGATTTCACAAGAATAAAAAATTTGAATAAGAACAAACCAAACCGTACTAATTAAAGAGAACTGCTTACCTCAACACTTAAGTTCTTGAGTGCTTCTGTGTTTTCCAGTGAGATGGCTAGAGGCGTTTGCTCCAGTTTAGCATATACTTTTTCTCTTGAGAAAGTTCTACTCAGATCGAATCGTCCTTTGACCCTAAGTCCTCTTGTTCCAGCCTGACGAAAATAATTGGATATGGATGATTAAGAAAACATAATTAATAATCACACAAGTAAAACTTAACTAACCACTATTTCGTCATCACTTGCCCTATCATACCCCTGAACAAGCTCCAATCTCCACTCAATCATGCATTGGAAAACGGCTACAAACAAAAGCCAAAAGCCAAAAGCATTCAAATCACTTGTTTGAGTTGTTACTAAAAATTGAAAAGAACAAAAAATCTACCGGTATTAACTACATTGGTTGCGCATGTGGGACTGCTTCTTGTTGCATACATTCTTGCTATTTATTTTCAGTGTTTCTTTTGTTTTTGATTTTCGGATTTGGCTAGATAGATAAAGTGCATACATTGTTCAAAATACAATTCTTTGCTTTATACAAGACACAAACTCTGCCTTTAAAACTATTCATTTTTTTTGTAGGAGATAGATGATGTCCCGATTAGGCGAATCGGAAGAATTGTCCTAGATCCGGCCAATCGAAGCAATGAGGAAGTGAAATATTGGGCTATCTTTTGGGATTAAGTTGAGATGTTTTTCTTTTGTTTGTTGCCATTGAAATACTTTTGTTTAATGTCTGTTTCAATGCATCTTTAGAGATTTAAGTACTTAGCCTAGAGGCTTGAAAAGATAATTTTAACTCTGGTATTGATTTTCTCGTTTTTGTAGTCATTTTCTGTTTAAAAAATACAAATGAAGTTAAGATTACTAGTCTACTTTTGTATCTGAAGATTATTTTTAATCGGAAATGACTAGCAACGCAGCCAAAAATAAAAAAACTATTCATATTTACAACTTTGACATTATAACTTAATAAACTTATGTTCCAGTGAATCAGTGATTATATTTGTATATTTCTTAAATTTTTAGTAATCTATAAACTATTTTTTTTTTGGGTGAATTTATATAAACTATATATTTCAGTATACTGTATATGTTTTTGCTTCCGATAAAAAGTGATGGCTCCGCCACTGTTTCGAACCAACTCCATTGATTTCATTACTCTTACTCAATGATTAATTAATTAGATATTCAACATATAGAACTAACTGGTTCTCCGATACATTTACATAACGTAACTTTCAGACTAGCAGTTATATATACATGGATATTTTGAACAAACATACGTGTCTGGATTTGCATTCTCGATGTATGAGTTTGCAGGCAATTAGAACACATAAAGTATGATGAAAACATAGACAAAACATATTACAGACATATGTAACAGATTCATCACAAAACAGAGTCAATCAGGGGAAGCTCTACTTATATATGAAATCAATGGAACGAATTCGTTCGCTTGTTTACCGTTTAAATTCTAATCATGCAAGAAAATAATGGAAAAAAGTCAAAAACAAAGTCAACGGACATCGAATTATGTCCTAATCATCTCATTCTCCTCCCAACAAGGCGAATCATATCTTCCCTTGTGCGTAATCTATAACTTCCAGCCGAAAATACGTACCAAAATATTTTTAAATTACCTAAATTATTAGAACAAAAAGTATTATGAATCATTTAGGGAAAATTAGCTAAATAGATCATATTATAATTAATATGATCTATTTAGCTAATTTTCCCAATCATTTATGTCTTGTGGAACGAGATATTGAATTAGTGGAATGTAGACAATTCATCACAAACATAACCACATACTTTTAGTTCGTAGACTTTTGTAAAATGAGTCCAAGTACATTACAAAGAACATTAAAATCTACATAATTGTGAATAATATGACAGTATAGTCTTTCTCGTGCAAAATATATATCATCGTACGTAGAACTTAAAACCAAATAAAGAAATATCGACCCCCAAAACCTTAATATTTTGTATATATTATCTTATGCTACGCTTAACTAATACAAAAAGCAACTACTTCTAGGTTATATATTCCAAGGTCGGTCAGTACGAATAAGACACAATAACTACTATATATAAATACGGGACTTTAAAGACAAGTAGGTTAACTAAAACATCCTTAATTTCCAAAACCTACGCACTCTACAAAAGATACATCACAAAGAGTAAAAGACTTATCTATATCTCTTTTTTTTTTCCCCAAACAAAAAAGAAGAAGAAGAAAATGGCAGTGATCAAGAAGAAGAAACCTTCATTGACATCTCTCATCTTAGGGTGTTATATGACAAAGAAGGCGAGCCGAAGCGAAGGAGAGGAGAAGGATGCAATGAAAATAAGAACGAGTCCGTTATTCAAGAGGCTATCTTTGTCGGACATAAGTGATCCAAGCTCGCCTATGTCGGTAATGGATGATCTTTCAAACTCCTTCACATCTCAGAAGCTTCGTTTGTTCACGTTGTCTGAGCTAAGAGTGGTTACGCAAAATTTCTCGAGAAGTAACATGTTGGGGGAAGGAGGGTTTGGTCCGGTTTACAAGGGGTTTATTGATGATAAGGTTAAACCGGGTTTAGAACCCCAACCGGTTGCTGTTAAGGCACTTGATCTTCATGGCCATCAAGGCCATAGAGAATGGCTGGTAAACATCTATCTCTCTCTCTCTGCATGTATATGTAAATCTAGGTTTCTCATCTCTTACCGAATTCTTATCGGAGTTAATCTTATTTTATTTACTTTCCCAAATGTTCAGATTTTTTTCCACATTTTTTTCTTAATTCGCAGATAACAAAATATTAAATCATATAAACAAACATGCGTACCTAATCTAGTTAAATATAAAATAACGAACCAATTGGAGAAGTTAGAAGCATATTGTTGCAGAATTTCATTAAATAGACTTTTGTCACTATTCTTTCAAAAAAAAAATTTGGTAAAATTCTTTCAAATACTTTGTTTCAGTGTATAAAGAGATGCATCTCAATTAAGTTTTTTTAAAAAACATTTGCAGGCGGAGATAATATTCTTGGGACAACTAAGTAACAAGCATCTAGTGAAGCTGATAGGATTTTGTTGTGAAGACGAGCAAAGAGTTCTTGTTTATGAGTACATGGCCCGAGGTAGCTTGGAGAATCAGCTCTTTAGAAGTAAGTCTACGTTTCTCTTCCTCATACCAATTTATGTTTCCAAACAACCTAGACCTTATGTTTGTCAGAGTTTTTTTTGTCATTTGTACATATTTTTATTAATTTCTAATGAACAACAAATATCTTTTGGAATTTAAATAATACTGCCTACTTCGAAAAAGAAAAATGTTAATTTGTTTAAACTGGGACAGGAAATAGTGTAGCAATGGCATGGGGAATAAGGATGAAGATAGCCCTTGGTGCAGCCAAAGGTTTAGCTTTTCTCCATGGAGCAGAGAAACCTGTCATCTATAGAGACTTCAAAACCTCCAATATATTGTTGGACTCCGTGAGTTTTTTTCTTTTTCCAAACCCTCTTATATTTTGTAGGCCTAGTATAAATTAAACTGTTACGTTTGATTGATCTTGTAACTTTTTCAGAACTATAACGCCAAATTATCTGATTTCGGTCTAGCCAAAGATGGACCTGAAGGCGAACATACACATGTAACAACCCGAGTGATGGGAACACAAGGTTATGCTGCGCCCGAGTATATCATGACTGGTAACATTTTTACTATTTAATGGAACTGATAATTAATTTTTACCATATTGTAACCCATATAGATGCATAGTCCTTAATGGTTTGCTTGTGTGGTATATATAGGCCACTTGACGACAATGAATGATGTGTATAGTTTTGGAGTAGTTTTGTTAGAACTGATAACCGGGAAACAGTCAATGGACCATACCCGGACACGGAGGGAACAAAGCCTCGTGGAATGGATGCGACCCATGTTGAGGGACCACAGAAAGCTAGAGCGGGTAATAGACCCGAGGCTCGAGGGCCAGTACAAATCTGAGGCGGCTCAGGCAGCTGCTACTCTAGCCTACAAGTGTCTAAGCCAAAATCCTAAGTATAGACCAACAATGACCGAAGTAGTTAAAGTCTTGGAGTCTATCCAAGAAGTTGAGACAAGGGAGCGTAATGGCAACAAAAACGAAGCAAAGAAGTTTGTTGATATAAAAAAGTGTAGGCATTACCGTAAAGGCCAAAGACGAGTGAATATCGCTTATTCAGATTCTCTCCTATACAAAGAATCCAGGGCAAAGCAGAACAATGGGGTTTGAAATTCCTAAGTATTAATATTCTATATATATGTACTCTTCTTATCTTAAGTTGTATGACCCTTTTTCCATGATTTAAGGATGTAAAGGTTATGTTAAGTCTCGTCATTATCTGTAGTTTTAGATAAGTGCCATTTCTATCTTGTGATCTCTCATCCGAGCTTCTCCTTAAACAATCGAAACTAAACACAAAATAGGATGCCAAAGGAAAAACGATTTACACTACATTTTAGTCCTACACTTGTAGTAAACGTATTGGCGCCAGAAACTTCAAATTGCACAACAAAGGTGGTAATAATTAGAGATCCATCCATTGAAAATTGAAAAATATCTATAGGTGTGGGAGTCTTTGAAGTTGTTTTAAGGCTTTCTTATCCGAAATAAGACACCGGAAAGCTCAAAACTCATATGAAATCTTTTGTTTGTCAAACTATTTATCCAGATTTAATGAAATACTTAATAAAACCATTGATCCATGTGTAGATTTGCATGATATGATTAACTGATTAAGTGTCATCCATGCATGTTTAAGTGAGGTGTCTTAACATCATTCATGGTTCACATATTTTGTGTGTTTCCAATTCAAATTTATCAATTTTATTTGATCTAAATCAAACAAAATAAGATGACTGAAAATCAAACCAAATCTGAATATGATATAAACAAATTTATTATTATTGGAAAAAACGAATTTAGAATTAAACCTAGCAGAAAGGTTATATTTAATTAAAACTCCAATATTTACCAGTCAAACCTAGAAATACTAATCATTTAGATTGTTTTCTTACTTGAGATACTTGTAAACATCAATTAGAAATACTAAAACTGAAAATTTTGACTCTAAACCAAACCGAAATCCAAATTCAACACTATTAACAATCTTTAACTATAAAATAATATTTTTAATCTATTCGATAGTTCACAAATGATACTTAAGATTAAGCATAATGCAGGACCTTATAATTGAGTAAATTAGTATTCTTTCGCTTGAAAATGTAAGATATTTTAGGTGAAAAGTATTAATATGTAAAACAATATTTAATAATTAGATCAAAAAATAATTCAGCTAAAAAGTGTTAACCATTTCACAATATGGAACAGAAGAATGTATTATTTAATGACAAGGATTAAGTGTTATCATTATCAGATAGAAAATAATAAAGCATTAATAAATAGCGAGGAAAAAAAAAAGAAGGTCAAATTGAGAGGCGCAAGGTTTGGTGTCTCGTTTTTATAATCTTGTGGTGGTGGTGTTACAGCTTTAGCCAAACACCAAACAAGAGAGAGAGAGTAGAGATAGTCGAGAATTAGAGATAGATAGTAGAAAGAGAAGAAGACGACGACGACGCTTACCCAAACTCGAATCCCTAGGTAAATAAAAAGCACCAAAACCTTCCTCTCCCCTGGAAAGTTATCTCTCTCTCTCTATCTGCCTGTTTATCTTGCTTTCCGCAGCCTTTTACTCTCTGAATCTCGTTTCTCTTCCATGGATCCTCTCTATTTCTTCCGCCAAGGTTCGTCTACCTTCGGATTTGGGTTTTTTTTTCTCCGACGTTTTAAACGAATTCGAATCGCAAATCTCGTTTTCTCGCTCTGTTTCTTGAGTTTGGGAATATTGTAGTTAAGTCTTCAGATTTGAAGAATTAAATTTACTCTTCATGTGTAAATTTTTTTGTCTGCTGATTTTCCATTTTTTTGCATTAAAGCAACAATGCATTGAGCTACGATTTGTAGCCACTCAAAAACTCTGTGTATGTTTCTCTAGTTTAGGTTTGTTAATATGATTCTGAGTCCACACATGTGGTTTGTTTCTTTTCTTGGTAACTTTGAATGATAAAAGTCAATTCCTTTGCAGGTTTCTTTATCTGGTTAAATTTTTGATTTTTTTTTTTTCTTGTTTGGATGCAGGTTTTGGTTAAAAAAGGAGTCATTTTTACAGTTTTTGGATACTAAAAAAGCAATCTTTACTTCCAGTTTGCTGAAGCAATGAGCTTAACCAAGAAAGCACCCACACAGTCAAGTGATCCAAAGCTGAGTTCGAGTATGAAGCCAACAACTTTAAACCCTCACGCTGCTGAGTTTGTTCCGTTTACTCTACGATCTCCTTCATCTGGAGGCACTACTACTACAAGCAATCTTGATGTGACATCAAGACTCTTAGCTTCCTCTAGCTCTGTTGGGAAAGCTGTTCTTGACAGATCAGAATCATCAGCATCACATCAATCAGATGAAGAAGCACGTCAGTTCTGGAGTCACCAACTTCCTGATGATATAACTCCAGATTTCAAGTTAGACGACAATTCCTATGGCTCTGGGAGCTTATCACTAGCTAGCTTGTCCTTGTATGGTGGTGAGAATGAAGCTGAAAAGTATCCTAGTGGAGGAGGGTATCCATTTTCAGACCAGCCTGGATTAGCTTCACATAATGCTAATGGCAACATCTTGTCTGAGAAGAGTAGGTATCTCGTTTCTTCATTTGGGGAAGATCCTCAACGGTCCAGTTTCATGCAGCAACTGAGTCCAAAGCCTTGGGATAAGCAGATTATGAATGCTGACCATCTTCTTGGGAACGAAAGGGAAGGAAACCTTTTCAGTGGTAGCTCTCGACAGGGGTTTGTTAACGACATGGTTAACGAGAGTCCAAATTTGGGAGAAGTTGAAGTGAATCCTGTGGAGTTTCTTGCTTCTCAGTTCCCAGGGTTTGCTGCTGAGAGCCTAGCAGAAGTCTATTTTGCTAATGGTTGTGATTTGCACTTGACAGTTGAGATGCTTACTCAGCTTGAGGTACTCTCCTAGTCCATATTCTTACATAGCTTTCATTTCTTGTGTGTGTTGAAGATATGACTCTGTGTGTGTTTCTACGTTTTCAATTTGTAGCTACAAGTGGACGGTGGCATGAATCAGAACATGAGCCCCAAGACTTTTGCTGCTCCAAATCTAACTCCGATGGATTTTCCGGCTCTTAGCCAGAGTAGTCCTGCACATTTTGGTGGGGATGATTTGCAACAAGCTGGAAACCATTACCAGTCTGCAGAGAAGGATAACATGTTTTTCTTCAAGCCGGGGCCATCGGTTTCGCAGCCTGGTTCAATCGACTATGTCTCTGCGGTCAGGAAGTTGGCAGCTCAAGATTCCGGTATGTGGAAATATGAACGAAACGATTCAGCAGACTCATCTATTGGCTCAAGCAGAAACTCTCACGCTTCTGCTGCTGCTGCTTACAAGAGTGGGCGTGTGAGGAGTTTATATTCTGATAAGCTGCAAAGTCGAGCCGCAAGTCGACCTGCTCCTGTCTGGGTGGAGACTGGGGATGCAGTTGGTAAAGTTCCCCTTTCCAACACACTTTAGCTTGTATACACATAACTGGTTATACATCTGCTTTGATCATCTGTTAGCTGATTGGATTGTTATGTTGCATTTCTGGGATGAATAGCGAACATGTATTCTGACCTACGCGAGGAAGCTCGTGACTATGCACGTCTGCGGAATGTATACTTTGAACAGGTAGAATTAAGCAGATGTTCTTTGCTCTCTTTGTTTATGTTCTTTTGCCAGTCATGGGGTTTTTCACACTCTTTGTTGCTTCTGGTTGAGCGCAGGCACGGCAAGCCTTCCTCGTTGGCAACAAGGCCTTAGCTAAAGAGCTAAGTGTCAAGGGACAGTTGCATAACATGCAGATGAAGGCTGCTCATGGGAAAGCTCAAGAAGCCATTTACCGTCAGAGGTTTGACTTCTTCACATTGCTCCACTGCATCTCCTTGCGACTATGATCTTTCATCTCAAAACCATTGTTTTCAGTATCTCTCTGTTCTAACCTGTGCCTATGAGCAATGAACATATACAGGAACCCGGTGGGTCAAGGGAACGGCAGAGGGAATGAGAGAATGATAGACTTGCACGGGCTACACGTGAGTGAAGCACTTCAGGTGTTGAAGCATGAGCTGAACGTGATGAGGAGCACAGCTCGAGCAACACAAGAGAGGCTTCAGGTTTACATATGCGTAGGGACTGGCCACCACACAAGGGGTTCAAGAACTCCAGCGAGACTCCCAGTCGCGGTGCAGCGATACCTACTCGAAGAAGAAGGCCTTGACTATTCCGAGCCACAGGCCGGTCTCCTTAGAGTCATCATATACTGACCAGGTACTTATATAGGAAAGAAAAGAAGAAAAAAAAAGATCGGCCATGCTATTCATTTTGTTGTATCTGTTCTGTAAATGGGAAGAGAGAAGAGTAGCTGAAAATGAAGGACAAAAACCAAAAAAAGTGTTAGGAAAGAGATGAAGGTAAGAGAAGGAATGGAGGAGATTGCGTATGCATAAAATGTTAGGTTTTGTTCAGAAGAATACTTTTTGTAGCATCAGAGGATCAAATCAGAGACCTCTCTTTTATGTTATTGTGGGGCTTTATATGATGTTTTTGTTGATGCTCTGTGCTTTATCACAGTTTCACTCTATATGCTATACTCCTTTCTTCTGGAAATGCTTATATATATTTGTAATCCTGATAGATTCCAATATGTGCATCAAGTCTTGAATTCATCAGTAAGATAAAAAATTATGACTTGTTACAGAAACAATCAAGCTCTAATCATGAGCTCATAAACATTACTGTTGTTCTCTCCACTCACTCGCTTAAGCATTTCCAAACTTTTCCTACTTCCTAGCAACTCTATTCTTGGGAAAACCATGTATCCATCATCAGATGTGTCTTTGTTGCAATACACTGTTCTGAGACGGTCTGCGTGCCTTGAGTCCGTGTGAATCGCAACCTCTATTTCATGATCCGGCAAGTTCTCCTGTAGAATCAGTACAGACAAGAAAAAAAGCATCTGATTAACTGTGTAACTAAAAGAGTCATATAGCCATTTGAATTGCAGAAACAACAAAGAAAAGTTTCTACCTGATAAAAACTGTGAATGTAGTCTAAGATTTGCAGGCAAGTGAATCCGTTATCACTGAAATAAGTCCGTGAAGAAGGTCCCATCTCCGAGAACCGATCAGTTGGATACAGAATTGTAAGAAAGTTGTCTTTAAATATCACTTCCGTCTTCTCGCTGCAAGGGAACACCAGGAGACCAAGGTGAGATATTTCAACAATGGCAGCAACAGAAAGTACTAGTAGGCTACAGAATGAAGAAATGAGAGACGTAAGAGGAACAATGTACCTCTCGGTGAGTGCTCTGGTTGAGTTTGAAAAAGAAGCTACTGGATCTAGCTCTTTATCTTTCCCTTCTTCAACAACAGAAGTCAGGGGTTCAGTGATGTAACCACTGATGCTACAAGAATCAGTGAAAATAGTGGCAGTTGAAGCTGCTTCAGACACTGTCCAGCAAATATTCTCCAGCAGGCTGTTCTGTGTTATGCGTCTTATTGGGTTTTGGCAAGTCTATGACATCCAATAACAGAACAAGCATTCAAATTCAGACATTATCAGGTGAAAGACTTTCATTAAGGTGAAATTTACCATTCAGTTACCTGCATATGGCGAGCACGCCGTCTCCTAACCCCAGTTTTAGCTACACTTACAGTCTCTTTCCTCTCTTGTTTTGATTTACTTCTGAGCTTAGAAGCATCTTGAGAAATACCTTCCTCGCAAACTTTCTGTAACATTTATACAGAGAGAGTTCGCAACGATTACGAGAAGAGACAATATATGACAGTAAAAATCCCACCATGTGACAATATAAAGTACCTGCTTTGAAGCACCATCTTCAGAATTTTCAAGCATTAATCCTAACTGTCTGGCTAAATCTGGTGACATGTGAACAAGTCTTTGCCGATGTCTCTCCACTGTTTTCAGTACCCATAGTGGCTGATGTAAACAACAACAGAAAACAAAAAGACAAAAGTAAGCATGCTTACATAGAGAATCAAAACAAAAAGGAAGTAGACCTTCTGAAGAACAGAATACAATTATACAACAATGACAAAAAAAAAGAACTCACTGAGACAATGGTGTTTGCGTGACCAAGATATCTCTGAACAGAAGCACCTTCACACACGACAAGACTTGCATTGCAACCAATAAACCACGAATCTATGACCTTTGCTCCTTGATCTCCAGCAACTTTTAACACCTAAAACAAACAACATTTTATTTAAAGAGAATCAAAGAATAGATTGTGCAGCCTTGCCAGCAAAGTTGTAAGTATTTGTATCATGGAACCTGCAAGATTACCTTAAGCCGGAGTTCATCTGAAATATCTGAATCGATATACATGGAATGATCGGAGAGAGTCATGTCTTCACTAGTGACAGTCTCTGTTCCAGAAGAAGTTTCTTGGTGGTTCTTTGCTGATGTGCCAAAATGTACAGGTTTCTGAATTGCACGAGGACGACAAACAGATTCGAGATCAATAACCCGGCTCACATCATCCACCTTTCCGCTATCTGGTCCAAGTTGTTTAACATTGTAAAGTGATTCGCTCATCCTAACTACAGTATATCAAAATACCAATTGTCAGCTACAGCTTCAGAGACACATAACCTTATAAATCAATGAAAAATGAAAACTTACGGTTTCTCCTGACGCTATCTACAAACCAGCTGATAGTAACAACAAAGAGGCCGTTTCTTGCCCCATGTTTCAAAGTGTGCTCAAACTTGCGTCCACATGAGCTGTAAGATTTCGTTAAGCAGCCCAAATGTAATCGAGTGGTAAGATATATATTGTATTTGCAAGAATCATAATATGCTTTAGTACCAATACAGTTTATGTTAAGAAAGGCTTAGAAGGACACGAATCAAGATCATGTTAGGTTCTGTAGTCATAACCAAACACTAAAAAGGTGCAATAAAGAAATGTAAAAAAGGATATCTGGACAATCAAATGGGTACATCGCTGGTGGAGGTGAGGACTATACTCACCTCCAAGACTTTCTGTCGCTTCCTTGACTTGTTTTCTTGCATCTGCGCAAGAACCATAGAAGAACAACATCATCATAATCGCATCAAACCCCATTTTATAACATCACAACCAAAGCAATAAAGAAAACATGATCAGAACAACATCTAAAACGGTAATAAGTTAAAAGATTGAGGAACACAAAAATCCAAACTTCTGCTTATAGAACCTATCATACATCAAAACCCAATTTATAAACATAAAACCACACTTAGAAAAGAGACAAGATAACAATTCTGCAAATCTGCCAAGTATGAAAATTTTAAGACTGATGAACATAAATCTACAAACTTTTTGTTATATAACATCCCAATGATCATTAAACTTCAACATTTCAATCATAATGGAAACAAATTAAAGCCTGGTGATCAAATGATTAAACTAAAACAATCTTAAAACAAAATCTGCGGACACCAATTGATGATTTTACCTTTGGATAAACCAGTGACGCAGATGACAAGAGTAGAGAACGGTCCATCGGGTTGAGACATTGGAGGAAGAGGAGGAGATTGTAACACAGGAAACAATTTTGAACAACCCTTTGAGTCGATCAAACCCACATTTCTTCTGAGAGCACCCATTGTTGTTCATAAACAAACCCTAAGCTTTCAGTCTCGGCTTTATAATTCAAGTCACACACACTTAATTCAAAACGAGGAATCATTGCAGAAAGACTAAAAAGGGAATCAAAATCAAAAGGAAATCACTTTCTCAGAGAAAAAAGAAATCGGGAGATGTAAGGAGAACATGAAAAGGATTTCAAAAAAACACAAAAGAGGGGTTTTAGGGTTTAGTGATTGTGGACAAAATGGTGCTTTAAAATTCTCGGAGTGGGGGCAAAAAAAAAAGATGGACACTTTGGGTTTTGGAAGCTTTTTCGTGGGGTTTTTGGCTTTATCGGCGTGATCCAAAATTTGGAGAATTTAGTGACCACACTATTCAAACTGACTCACCTGCAAATTATTATGTGATTCAAAATTGTTGGGCCCTTGATTTCTCATTTCTCAGTTTCTGTTACCATTTACAATCAATACTCTTGTAAATTTTGGATTTCTAAAAGAGAAATGAATGCAAAATTTACTGTATGTACAGTATGTCATCATCTTATTTGGTGCGATCATGCCCAAATGAGTTCTTATTATATTCAGAATGTAATATAGAGATACTTATTCGTAAATTTCTATCTCCCATTATTGGTTCATATACACTTTCTTGGAAGCAATAATTGTTTATTTTGCTGTCTCACATTATTACCAAGGTTCGTAAATTCAGTGTTCGTCATAGAACTTTTTATAATTATGTATTGCCACTTGTGGGTTCATAATTTATGTCATATCTCAGTAGTACGGAGTCTTTATAACGTTGCTTTTTTCTTTGCTTCTTATGCTCTCTGTCATATTGAATTGAAGACAAGAGCTTTAAGAGATGAGCAAGTAGATCGAGCCACTAAACTTTGTAGACCTTGCCACTAGCTTTCGTTTTTTTTTCTTTCACAAATTCTTTCGATTTTCAACAGTTTTAGAGGCAAGAGTTGCGCTTGAGTTAATTTGGTATATCAAATCACAAGAATAATACACTTCTAGTTGTAAATTGCAATCTGTTAAGATGTACAAAATAGTACCAATGAAAAAAACGAAGACAAATAAATCGTGTTTAACAATGTTTAATAAAATGGGTAAAAACTCCAAAACCTGTTTTCTACTTTTTTAAATTGGACAAAATAAGCCGTTGTCATTTTCATAATTTCAATCATTTCCATTGCTGCATGCAAATACTCGGATATCAAACGCATCTAAACAAAGACCACAAGATGGAGTTAAAGAGAGATAGATAGAGCAAGACTACCTGAAAACAAGTCCAAACCAGAGTGACTGTTGTTGGAAACAAAAGAATAGTACAAATTGCGTGGAAGAGAGAAAAGATTCTTTAGTCATCTTTCTTGCTTCCGAACATTTTCTCACACAAATCGGATTTTTGCTCGCATACGAAAGATTTTAAACCCAGCACTACCGAGTCGATCTCTCGTTCCTTCTTTTCGTACAGGAGAAACGCAGTGAATGCAAGGGGAAGTCCTGTTAAACAAAGAACCATAACGACAACAAAACTAGATATTGTTGAAGAAATATAATTCATAAAACCATAGTGTTGGCATGAAAGTAAAACTAGACACAGAGAGAGAGAGAGAGTACCTATAACAAATATGCTGTGAAGAGATATGGCTCCAGCGAAACTCAATACTAACAAAACGAAGACCACCTGAGACATTAGACGCACCAAACCAGTGTTACAAATTTCTATAAATATGACCTCCACGACGAGTTTTTGTCCCCATTTCCGATTCAGGTTGGGATTCAAGATATCGTAAGGCCCAGAGATATCTAGTTGAAGGGGGGAAATACCTTGAGAAAGAAGCTCCAATCATTCCCCCGGCAAAGTGATTTAAGAGCTTTAACAGTGGTGTTCCATGAAGAGATCACTGACAATGAGAGGTGATGTGACAAGTCTTCCGAGAGGTGAAACTGCGATGCAGGAATCTTTTCAACTGTATAACCAAATCTGCAAAATAAGCATATCTATTACATTCAGTTGTTCATATATTATATAAGGTATAGTTCATATTGTATATAATAAAAATCTATATAACATTTGTCATATCAGGAATCTTACATTTTCTCTGGTAGAATGCCATGGACGAACAAAAATACCGATGATACGAATAGAGCCTTCGAAAGAGCAGTTATGATGGTAGACCCAGTTGCAATAAAGTTATAATAAATACTAATGAGAATGAATATGGCAATGAGAGTCTTCTTCAGATCCTTCCAGAGAAGTGTATCAGCAACTGCAAGATCATGTCCGCAATTAGCATTCTCAATATGTATCGTAATAAATGAATCAAGACCAGTGTAGATTGTTCTAAATTTGAAAAATATATGTCTAGTTTTGCTAGCATCCTAAGCCTCTTCACAGTGATATGGTTGCTACCAAACCAACTTAACACCATCATTTTCAGGAGACGCATTTTAAAAACGAAACGCTGTCTTATAATGGGAGAGACAATCAACAGAAAGGAAAACCATGCTAATTGAAATATCCGGCCATACCCTTTCCGCCTCCAAGGATCCTATAAGCCTTGGATGGGCCCTCTCTTTTGGATTTACTTGAAGCTGTCAGGTGAGAGAATGAGTCTATCGTCCTCCGTATACCTTCCTGCAGGATCATCAAGTCATGCATTAGATATTATGATATCTAACCAAACGCTGCATCCAGACCCAATAGCAGTAGAATATAGGGATGCAGCAAATACATCTCCGTTTCAAATTATGTTGTAACCTGAAGCGGCACAACAGGAGCATAGCCTAGCCGATCCTTTGCCTTTGTGGAATCGAAAGTTCTGTTACATGAGAGCAGCCTAACTCTTGAAGGTGTTAGTTGTGGTACTTTCATCCCATATGGCCCCAACAAATTATATATCAGTTCAACCAGATACGCAATGGGCATCATGACAAACGCAGGGATCTTTATGCTTGGCCTGCAAAATATGATAAGTTAAAATGTATGGTTTAGTTCAATGCATTCTTTCTTAGGTAAGTAAAGCTGGGAAAAAACTATATCCCCAAAGAAAATGGTTCACACAGAAACAATATCAGAAAAACTTGTCATGCACATAAAGGGAAAAATGTGTCAGCTAGGATATCACTATGACTAGACACTAGAACAAAACAAAACAAAAAGGGAAAACACAATACCTCTCGTAGCCAAGTCCTTCAAGAAGCTGTGACATAAAATCCCAAAATTTAATTGGCTCCATGTTGGTAATGAAATATGCCTGTAAACCCATCAAATGTCAGGTCAGCCTGCAACTATGATTGTCCAACAACGTCATAGATAAACTACCATCTGACTACGCGCCTATGTTCAGTTTGAATTCAAGGGATTAAAGTTTTACGGCAAGAAAAAATGTAAATTATCTTCTTTGAAGTAATTTTCAAACGTCTTAAATGTCTCTCTGAAAGTTCACATAATATTAAAGTGAAGACAGTTTCTGTCTCAGTTTTATGGTATGTCTGAAACCTTTTTGATGGTTTCGGTATTCCCAAATAACATACACAAAAACGCCTTCCTTAATTCAGCCCGGTTCACCAAATGACAACATTCATTCTAGACATATAAAGCTAGAATACTAGTGAGACAACAGATATAAGAGGTGCGACTGAAACCAAACTTCACCTAGGTAAACTAAGGCATGAGTTCCACTGAAAACAAATACCTGGCCTGCAGCCTTTGTAGAAACATCTCCTCCTGAAGCTAGAGCACGCTCGGCACAAACATGGGCATGAGCAACATTTTCAACGTAAGTGAAATCATAGAGATTATTCCCATTGCCTATAATAAACTGGACATTAAAGACGCAGAAAACAGTTGTATCAAATATATAATTTATACACGTTTTATATCAAAGAAGAAATGCCACCCAAACAGTGCATATTTTCATTTCCAAAGATCCCTGATCATATAAGCAACTTCTAATTAGCATTACACCATTTATAAGAGAGTAATTCCAGTGCACATAAATCGCAGAACCCTAAAATAAATATGGCAGATGAAGAACAAATTAATTCCTACTAGGCAAAGCCATATATTTCAACTATGAGAGAATATCTCACCGCACAACCAGGAAACTATTCCCTTTTTTTAAGTACTCATATGTATGTTGCTTTCCCCAGCAGCATTTGCGTCTCGTGTTAGGCTACTATTAAGACCATTACATCTATGTCATCTAATTTAAGTTTCCAAAGAAAAGTCCCCACATCCCTGACACTGTCCAGACATATAGAAATTGATTCCTCTAGAGTGAGTTGTAGTCTAAAGCTTCAAATTAACAAACTTTGCAAAGGCAATACCCCATTTTCTGCGTAAAACATGCTTAAACTGTCTTTTCTAGTGTGTCAATCATCTGACTTTTGAGAAAAACTTACTGGTACATCTATAAAATGTCAAAGCTTTTAACGTAAAGCATGATCATGAATTTCAAACACGTTTAGAGAAGGCAGACAGCAGATACAGTGGTAAAAACAATAGACAAAGTAAATAATCCAACCTTGGATTTTCCAGCCCTCGCAGCATCAACAAGCGAAGGAACCAATAATCTATCACCGGGACCAAAAATACTACTCGGACGTATGCAACAAGTGAGTAGTCCATTACTTCCATTCGCCTTCATGATCAATCTTTCCAATAAAAATTCTTTGTTCTTGCATATTCCTACTGGTTTTCCAAATTAATCCCGCGGATACATATAATTCAGAAGAATATGTAAGTGATTCATAGACAGCATCTCGTTCTTTTATCAGAGGTTCTACTAATTGATATGTTTCCACAAATAATTGAAATTCAATTTCGTGATCTATATCTTCAATTTTTGGAAATTTAGAAAGTTCTTCTATTAAACCCTCATCAATAAACCGATAAAACCCTTCAAATTGTATCTGATTAAATCCGGGTATTGTAGATGTTCCCTCTTTTCCATCCCCGAGCATCTTTTTAAAATTTCCCATTTATCCGTTTATTGAAAAAATCCCATCCCATCTCTCATTCTTCACCAAATCATATCCATAGAATTCGATCTAGCAATAATGGAATTTCTATTCTGTTTACTGAATCACATGAAATTTTATCCAACTCCAAGATATATGGAATGAATGTATGAAATACGTATGAACGGAGACTGGATTCAATTGGAATTTTTTATAAGAAAGAGATCCAAATGGAACAGAATTGAGAAATACCACTGGAACTTATGGAGTTTTGTAAAGATTAGAAAAAAAAAGTCATTTCATTTTAACCTATGATATTACATATTCAAATTTAATTGCATACTATAAAAAAAAAATGTATTCATGGTTGGATCTATTCGAGCAGATAAACATATAATAAATAGAAAACTTTTTTTTAACAACTTTACTTTTTTTTTCATCTATTTGCATTTCATTGTTCAAAAAAATATTTGCAGAAAAGAGATTGATTTTTACCTATTTTGAATAGAATATTTAGAATATCAGTGAATTGCAGTTGGTAAGAAAACCTGTGTTTTTTTATTTATTAATTTTGTTTATTATTAAAATAAAAAAGAATGCACAGATATATATGCCTCTTTTTCTTCTTTTATTGTGGTACAGTTCTATTTGGGACAGCACATGCTGTGCTCTATCAAAAACAAAAATTCAATTTTCTCTTCAATGTATTCACTGAAAAATTGAAATACAAAAATTTATTGAGAATTACTCCCCAAAAGCATCCCTAGAGAGATAAAATACCCCATTATAGAGCTGTAGCTCTATAACACAACGTAACGTATGTTCTTATTCTGGGGTTTACATATAGTCATCATTACTGTTATAATTGAAATTGAAGAATATTTGTTTTTAATTGAAAAAAACTCAATATAGATTTAGTTAGAAATCCATTTATAATGATTTTATTATATTATTAGAAATCCATAAATGTAGATTTGAATTCAAAAATGGTCATGAATTTACAGTAATACAGTCAATAGTTAATGGTTCTGGTTTGTACTGAATTCTAGATGGCCGAGTGGTAAGGCGGGGGACTGCAAATCCTTTATTTTGTGACTGAAAATCCATATATTTTTTTCGGAGTTGAAAAAAACGAGAAACTTTAAATCTAGTTTCTATCGTTTTGGCGGCATGGCCGAGTGGTAAGGCGGGGGACTGCAAATCCTTTTTCCCCAGTTCAAATCCGGGTGCCGCCTCAACAACAGACTTGAAATCCCCTATTATATATAACATATAACAAATGTAGGAAAAGACTCTTGATACTTTATTTTCGTAATTTTCAGCCCCTGGCTCTCGAGGTTCTATTCTCTAACCTAAAGTTTTGCCTATCAGATTCACGGAAAACTTAAAGTAGTGGAGAGAAATCCGTCGGAGTCTTCAATTAGATTGGATAGCCAGAGAGGGAATTCAATTAATAGTTTTGGAAAGGACCTAAGATACTTTGGATACAGACTCATGAAAGTCTCGGAATGCTCAGACATTCAATCAATATTAGATTAGATGATGAAGAATTGCCCTTCGTTTTACTTCCAAAAATAAAAAACGATAAAAAAAAGAAAAAGTCTTATTTTTTCCACATGTGAGTCAGATTCCTTGGATACTTCGAAAAGTGCCTGTTTACTTGTGTTTCCATCTTGTCGATTCTACTAGAAATTCTATAATAAGAATAACTCATTACATTAAAAGATAAGTGGATTTTTTGGAGTAGTTCATCAATGGTGACCAAATACCTCTCCCTTTTTTTGACTCTGCACCAGTTATTTCACTATTATTAGTGAACAATAATGGAATAGTTTCTTCATATTCATAGAAATAGGGGACAGAATTCACATGGATATAGTAAGTCTCGCATGGGCTGGTTTAATGGTAGTTTTTACATTTTCCCTCTCGCTCGTAGTGTGGGGAAGAAGTGGACTCTAGAAGTACTCCTAATTGCGGTAATAATAAAACTCTATCAACCTGTATCAATTATTTTAGTTTTCTAGACCGGCCGGCAATTTTTTTTGAGAAATTGGATTTATGTTTTATTGACTCATTTTCTATTTTTATATCGGGGTTTCCACCGTTAATCATTCATGGGGTAACCCCTGATATAAATCTGAAGAAGTTTACATCAAATTCGGATTATTTGTATTAAATTTTTATTAAATGGATCAAACAAATGAAATTGAGAAAGTATGTACATACATTTCATATTCTATTTCATTTATATTACCATTTATAAATTTATAAAGAAAAAAAGAGATATAGGTGGATTCCTTTATATTAAAATATTTCACTTGTATCTTTATACATTACAATAACCATAATGGCTAATATGGTAGAAAGAGATCTCTTTCTACCATACTAGCGGGCCCCTTAGGATACTACTACTACTGAATCTAATGCATTCCTTTAATTTAAGACGAGAAATTGAAATCCTTTTTGTTTCGTTGCATTGATAGTCAAATTGTATTCAAATTAATTATTTTGACTAACAGTTTTTACGTAAATTATAAGCAAAAAAGCAGTAGGAACGAGAATGAAGAGTGCAGTAGCAATAAATGCAAGAATATTTACTTCCATAATTTAATCGTTTATTATTTATTTTTTTCTTTGGAATATCTCGGGATTTAATCCCATAGAGATGAGAAATCTTTCGCTTGTAAACTCACTCAGATTAATTAGATTTCGATGATATCGAATAAAAGAAATATTATGAATAACAATATCGTAGCTATAAAATCGATTCATCGTCAAGAATTTAATAATATACCATAAGAAGATCTTTTATCCACATCGAATACATAATGAGATTACTAATCCAATCAAAAAAAAATTGATTTATGATTCTTTTTCCCCGCTTGCTTTTCTACAACCTAGTACTTGACTTTCCTTGTACAACCATCCGATGAAGTATCATAAAAAACCTTTTCTACTTCGATTGTTTACAAAAAGAGTTTCTAAAGAACCTTAAATAAACAATAGAAATCAAATAGAGAAAACAAGTACGAAGTTCAATTTGAAATAAAAAAAAAATTTAAGGGTCTATCATCTTTTTGGAAAACAAATAAAGGGAATGTGATAAAGACCAGTCCCAGCAAAAAAAACTAAAATATTCCAAAAAATGAACTATTTAAATTTTCTTACGAGTTTTTTCTTCAACATCGACTCTAATCTTTAAAAAGAACATGTTCATTAGGGAAAGGAAAGACTAATTTGATCTTTATTTTTTAAATATCCTCTTTCCTTGGTTGGATTCGAACTATTTTCAATTACTTTACTTCATAGAAAGAAAAGTATATAGGAACTCTTGACAAACGTATTATACGCTATCCTATTCCATTTTCCTACACGAGTTAATAGGAGATTAATTGACAAAAAGCAGAAACCCCGTACAGTATCTCTTTCTTGAAGTGTTGAATGCTCTCAATAATTATACTAATTTACATATGTCTCTCTACCATCAATTGGTGCTAGTTAAAATAATGGAAATACCCCTTTCTTTTGCTTAATGAAAAAAAAAAAAGAGAAACTCCCCTTTTTGTTTCTGGGCAAGGGAATCAAAACGGTTTCGTTTCTCTTTTTTTTTTATTGAATCCGCCGGGACTGACGGGGCTCGAACCCGCAGCTTCCGCCTTGACAGGGCGGTGCTCTGACCAATTGAACTACAATCCCATGGAAATCAAGTGGGTAGCTTACATATTCCTTCTTATGATTTCATTTTAATCGTTTCAATTTTAGATTCAAATTAGTGTTTTGTAACAAAGAAAATCACAAGTGATATATTGATATCTATATGGACATCACTTTAGTGATAGCAAGGCGGATTGCTGGTAATCCTTGCATTATTATCAATCGACTCTATTCATTAAAGTTGATATTGAAAGGATCCATATCGGGATCCTTAGTAAGATCGGAATTTTTGATGGAAACAAAAAAGTAACTAGACACAAGAAATAAAGAAAAAAGTTAAGTCCAAAGATACCCCGAAATTTGACCTTTTTTTTACCATTTATGCAAAACAAAAAGTGTTCCGTAAACAGCGAATTATTGGGCCGAGCTGGATTTGAACCAGCGTAGACATATTGCCAACGAATTTACAGTCCGTCCCCATTAACCGCTCGGGCATCGACCA